GTCCTAAAGCTCTTTGATTGAATATAGCTCAGAATCCCTCCCATGACCCCTTCCCCTGGCATGTAACAGGAAACCCGCGATGATTGTGCATCGAAGACTGGTACAGTCCTCAATCCAATGAGTGCCTCCTTCCTTAACTCCAAGAATGAGACCCAGATCCAGGCTGACCAAAGTGCAGCCTTGGGCTGCCTCTGATGGGAGTCCTCTCCGGCTCCTGGGCAGCCTTTGTAGAAGGTGCCTTTAGAAGGGTATGTTCTGTCTTCTTCAAAGACCACTCGCTCTGCCAGGTGCTGCCTTTGGTTCCCTGCAGCCAGTTTGCATTTATTAGTAACCATGGGGACAAGTGCCCTGCTTCCAGAAGTGCAATCTACAGTAAATGTAGATACAGGAAACATGAAAAAACACACAAATAGGGCTCATGTTTTGGTCCTTGTGCAAGGTCCCTCCAGAATGTATGAGGTAGATTGTTTCTTTAATATTTCCTTTTTAAAAAATTGAAGTGAAATTCATGGAACATAAATTAACCATGAAAGGTATGCATTTCAGTGGCATTTACTATATTCACAGTTTTGTGTAACAATCACCTCAAATTCCTTAGTTTTTACACTTTCTTTAATTTTTTTCTAGATGTATTTAGAAGGGAATGATGCAGCACCACAAAATAATGCTACTGCTTTCAAATACTTTTCCATGGCAGCCAATAAGGTATGTACTCAGCCCATTTCTGCAAATGCATAAGAGCACTTGGCTTGTATTACATGGACTCCTAAGCCTCATGCCTGGCTACTAGACTTGGGAGGAGTTTGGTGTCCAGGAGAGGAAGAATATTGTTAACAATAAAACATGGGGCTTGGTTGGGTAGGAGGTATGTCTTGTCTTCTTGGTAAATGAGAAATGCCAACGACTTGTGCTGTCCTAAACAGACAGAAGTTCAGCTTTCCCTTCTCCCATGCTGCAGATGAGGCTATCTAGTTCCTAAAACAAGAAATAAAAAAGATAAATAAAAGACAGAGGAAGGGAAAACTCAATCAATAAAGCAATCCATTCAGGACTAAAACAACCAAGAAATGCCCAATTTTCTCCCATTTGATCTTACCCAAAAGCCAGAAATTCTCCTGGCCTGAGAAGAAGGTTGTCAGAGAGGCAGCCAGGACAAGATGATTGAGAGCAAGGCTCTGGAGACATTTGGTTTGAATGCCAGCCCCGCTACTTACTAGCGATGTAACTATGAGCAAGTATTTAACCGTTCTGTGCCTCAGTTTCCCCATCTATAAAATGGGAGTATAAGAAGATTTGGCTCATATTGTTGTTGTCAGGGTTTATTGAGTTGACATTTCTGTGCCTCCTATTATAAAAGTAGATAAAGCATTGCCTGGCACATTGTAAGTGGCATGTGTCTGCTATTATATTTTGCAGCCTGAGACCAGTTAGATAGAGTGAGCTTCAAAGCATATCTAAGGCAAAATGGATTGAATATGTGAGGAAATATATAAATGGTGTATTTGGATCCTGCCATTGAAGTTTTTGCCTTGGTTCCTAGGTTCAGTGAGGCTGGTATCTGTCAGGTAACACTTAGTAGACTCCTCTAAATCCCTTTAGTACATAAAGAGCTCCTAATCATGACACCCATCAACCTAATGTTGGTGAGTGGCCTTAATTAACTTTCTATCCCTACACAATAGGAAACATTTTGTTGTCTGTGTCATACTATAACACTAACAGTAATGATGTACTCAAATTGGGGAATATTTTTAACTGTTCTTTTTTAAACACCCACATGCTGCTTTAGGAGCCTATTTAAAAATGACTAGCACTTTGGTGCTGCTGCTATTGTGGTGTAAATTACTGAGAAGGCTGGTAGGAGGCTCCTCTTCCTTGTAATTTATATGAAACTGTGGTGCAGCAAGACAGTTATCTGGAGTACCATTAGATTAGGATGACAAGGGAAAGCCAACTGAAAAAGAGGTAATGTACTGGGAAGATCTCTTATAATCTGGCAAATAATGCTAATTTGTCAGTCCAAAGGAAGAATGCCAGGAAGCTGAGTGTGTAAATTAACCCAGCTCCTAAACTATCCAGGGTTGTATAACCAGCAGCTTTCACTAATAATTTTTTTAAAAAACATTGCTTTTTTCAATTTGTTTTTAGGTCATATCAGTACCATGTTGCAAAGATACGTTATAACCTCTTTGGACTTTTGTTTACTTAGAATCATGAAGATTTATCCTATGTCATTTTGGGCCCATATTCTTCAGGTTTTCTCTCTCATACCTCTGAACACATCAGGTCCATCCCCATCTCCATATTTTCGTCCTTCCTTCTTCCTTCCCAGACTCTCCCATTTTGAATCCTACCCATCCCCCAGATGAGAGTTTAATCCTCTCTTCCTGCACAAAGCCACCCTTACCTGCCAAAAGCCGGTCCATCCTTGCTGCTTGACACAGTCGCTGCAGGAAAGAAACATCTGCACAGCATATGTTTCAAGGGACCTGGCGTATATAGCATACTGTTCTTAATATGTTTGCTCCCCTTAGCGCTATGTGTTTTAACCAACATAATCTTTACTCCCTGGAATGGAGATAAGAAACGCCCTAACCTTTGTAATAGAAATTGACAGGATTGGAATCAACTGGTATAAATACGGATGTAACAAGACAATAAACGGCAGAACTTCTCTGGAGATCCAGACCAGAACTTGGCTGGAGATCCTGGCTAGGCTGCTGATCAACTGAACACTGTCTCCGTGTCATTCCTTCTTCGCTGACTCCGTCCACACCTTTGGGGACCCCTGGACCTGCTGGGGTTGGACCCCGGCACTTACCCTCCTTGGCTCACATAATCTTTTTCCTCTTCTGAAATTGCCCTGCATTCGTGCTACTCCTGCTGGAACTTCACTGCTTCTACCTTGTGTCTGAAGTCATGTCTCCTTAATTAGAAAATGGCTACAGTCTTAGTACAATATTTTCCAGATAAATGATGTTTTTTTCACAGAGTTCATGTGAGTTAACCTAAGCAAGAGCCCTAAAGTGGGAGTTCTATATGATGCAGTTGCCCACACATATTATATTTGGCCCAGAAAGTGTTTTTAAAATTAGAGAATATCATATCAAAATCTCAATATCCATATTTTCTTGGAAAATGGGAAGAGCAGACCTATAAGACCACTGTTCCATATAATAACAATTACCTAGAGAAACTAGAGAGGGTCAGAATAACTTGCCAGCTGCCTGATTAAACTGCCTTGATTAATCACTATGGGTGAATTTCAAATATTTTGAATGATTTTTCAGTAATTTTATTTACCATGAATTCTTCTGAAACTTAACTTGGATTTTTAAAACTGTTTTAGGGTAATGCAATTGGTCTTCATGGGCTTGGTCTTCTTTATTTTTATGGAAAAGGCGTTCCTGTGGTAAGTTAAATAATTTCATTATCTTTTCAACATGTTCCTAGCAACTTATAAAGTAAAATTCATCATCATTGATTAATTTTAAAAAAATTAGTGTCTATTACCTGGTTTGCCAAACTATCACATCTGATAATAGAGAATAAAATAATCTACTGAAATGTTTGCCAAAGAGACATAGAACAGCCTTGTGACAAGAATTACAAACCCTAATCATTACCTAAGGAATAATAGCCAAATGTAATAGTAACCTTAGAAATTATCTAACCCCTGAGGATTTTTTTGATAGACAAATTTTGATAACCTCTGTCTTTGAGTGACCTTCCCCAATGTCTAACAAAACTTACTATCAATGTAGGAAAAGTCATAATTTACATTGAAAATGAGAGAATTATTTCCTAATATAATTTAATAATGAAACAAAATGTATAATACTTCTGATACTATTTTAATTAGCCTAAATCACAAAGTGCACTATCTATACTCTTTTTTTTTTAAGTAGAATACAATTATTACCATGGAGTTATATCTCTACCTCTGAATAATAGAGTGTAATTATCTTGCAGAATTATGGTGAAGCACTTAAATACTTTCAGAAAGCTGCAGAGAAAGGATGGCCCAACGCACAGTTTCAATTAGGCTTCATGTACTACTGTAAGTGCTATGAATATGATTATTAACTTTGCTCCTTTTTAAACAAAAATCAAAGGACTGGTATGTGTGGTTTAGATAGAACATTCAGGCAGCATTTGAGTAGGCAAAGAGGTGCAGAGTCAGGAAACACCCCTTTGAAAAGGTTGAGTTGCCTTGTGTTATCCAATACTACATATACCCAAAAGCAAGTATGAAACTCAGAAGAGCCCTAGCTGGTTTGGCTCAATGGGTAGAGCATCAGTCTGTGGACTAAAGGGTCCAGGGTTCAATTCCAGTGAAGAGCACATGCCAGGGTTGTAGGCTTGATTCCCAATAGGGGGTGTGCAGGAGGCAGCCAATCAGTGATTCTCTCTTATCATTGATGTTTCTCTCTCTCCCTCTCCCTTCCTCTCTGAAATCAATAAAAATATATTTTTTTAAAAAGAAATTCACAAGAAAGGTCAAACTTAGAGAAAAACATTTGGGACATGACAAACATCAACTTGCAGGTGTTTGTTAAGAATAACTGAGGTTGCAAATGAGAGTGTGAGAGGGAGAAGCAGTGGACCATGGTTAGAAATATGGTGATCCTCAGTGCCATTAAAATGGTGAACAGAGAAGACTGGTCACAAGAAGGCTGGAAAGGCTTGGTCAGAGGCGGGGAGAGGGAGCCAAAGGATGGAACTTTCAAGAAAGAGTAAATGAGTGAGCATCCTTCTGAATGCAACAAGAAGCCTGGTTCTCAATTTTAAAAAAGAGGAGTTGAGTATTCATGGGACTTGTCAATATTGAGGATGTTAGTGAGATTATTGGACAGGTTGGTGTAGAAGCCAGATACAATGGGTTGAACTGTGAGGGGACAGTGAAGTAAAAATATTCTTGGAAGTAATGCACCTTTAAATGTAAGGAGAGAGATGTGATGGTGGCATGAAGGGAACTGAAAACTAAGAGGGAGTTGTTTTTAAGATGGTGAGAGTTACGAGTATAATTTTTGACAGAGGAAATAAAGCCAGCCAATAGAGATGGTTAATGAATCATGGGAGAAATGAGATAATTGATGAAAAGGGGTCTGGAAAAAGTAGAGTGGCATTAGGATCTGTATACTTCACAGAGAGGAGGGATTTCTCATCCTCAAAGATGAAGGCAGGAAGGCAGAATGATGCATATGTAAATCTGGGGATCACAGGAAAGAGGCAAGAGGAAAGACAAAGCGAGGGTTTCCTCAGTGAGTTAGGATGTACAAAGTTGTGATCTGAGAAAAAAGATAGTGTGATTGGGGTAGGAGGCCTCAGAAAGCCATGAAGTTCTGTCATCATCTCTGTGGGGACTAAGAGAGGACTGAGGGTGGCCAAGACAAGTACCAGGCAATCTGAACAACATGAGTCTCCCCATTAAGTCCTTCCTGTCAGAGTTGGGGGTGGCGTAGCTGCAGACCACATCATCAAGGAGGTCAGACCTGGCCAAAATGTTGGCCGGCATTTTCCACAGAAGCTGGGGCAGGGCCTGTTCTACACTGTCTTGGGGGCTTGCCTAACATGCCCTTATTCTTCTAGTTCTTTCCAAGTCACAGGCTCAGGATCCATCAGACTCCTTAAGTTTCTAGAATAACAGTAATAGTAACAGCTAAAGTTTATTAGTCTTTATATATATTAACTCATTTAGTTCTCTAGTGGGTATCCCACCATTTATAGATGAGCAAACTGAGCTATACTGTGGTTAAACATCTTGGCCAAGATCTCAGTGAACTGGGATTCAAAACCAAGCAATCTGCCTCTAGAGCCTTTGCTAGTAGCCTTTACATGACATACTTCTGACGGCTATTAAATGTTAATGTAGGAGAGGAATTTAAGGACCAACTAGGGATAGCCCCTCCTTTTGCAAATGGAGTGCCTAGAGGTGCCCAACTCACAAAAGGGAGAGCCAAGACAAGAATCCCGGCTGCTGGGAGTATATTGATTCTCTGCCCCTTGCTCAACCATGAGTTGAGTCCCAGCAGAGCCCCCTGGAGGTGGGATTTGCCTGCTGCAAACTCCATAGTTATGGCTGGGAGGAACTATACTGGTCTCCTGCTATAAAGATGACAAGGATGCAGAGATACATCATGGTGGGGCTCTGGTCCTCAGAGACCAGCATTTGGTCTCCTTTTCATATTGAGAAGATATTTTCATGAAACTAAACAGTCCTTCAGTTTTCTGAATGGGTCAAGAACAAGGATTTCTATATTCTTATAATCAAAATCACCACCACCACCACCACCACCACCTCCAAAAAAAGCACACACACAAAAAACAGTGGCACTAGAACAGCTTAACTTTGGGTTGGATTTTCCCATCCTATTTGATATAGCAGGCATCACTATGACCATATATCCATCGATTATAATGTAAAAAATAAATAAGAGATAGCTCAAAATCATTTTACTTTTCAGCTGGCTCTGGAGTATGGAAGGATTATAAACTTGCCTTCAAATATTTTTACTTGGCATCTCAGAGTGGGCAGCCCCTCGCCATCTACTACCTGGCTGAGATGTACGCGACAGGAGCAGGAGTGTTAAGGTCATGCAGAACTGCTGTGGAGGTACATGATGAGATGTTTTTAAAGCACTTTTCATTTATCATACAGAAGAGGCTATACTGCCCTTAAATTGTTGATGCCTTTGATTTTATGGATATCACCTCTTTTCTCCCCGTTGGCAATGTGAGCACTGACATTGGTTAGGGAGGGAATGCACTGATGTAACTCAAGTTGGAAATGGAGGAAAAGAAATAATCCCTCTCCTCTTGCATTTGGCTTTTCATCAAGTTCAGAGCTCCCTCAAATGCAGTTAAGGAGCTTTGTTTCAGCCTTCAATCAAATCACCAGGACAATTTGGCACTTCTAGTGGGATTAGGCAATGCAATTTGGGAATCAAAAGGCTTGATCGGGCCTGGAAAATGTAGTTCACTTCCTCCCAAAAAGCAGGGTCTTTAGGTATTTGATGATTTGGATGACAAAGTGAATTATTTCAGCCTGAGCCAGTGATGTACTTTTGAAAAGAATGCTTTTAGGATCTTAATGCCCTTTATTGATTTATTAAATACTTCAGCTGTACAAATATAAATATATCTATGTTGCAATCTGGCCCCTCTGAAACTCAGTTCAAAAGCTGCCAGCTAATAATCTATCTTTAGATTTGCTCCTTTGCCAACTTCCTAATGAATTATGTATGGCTAACCTCTTTTGGTTACATAAGGGCTATTCAGCTAAGTTGACATTTGTCCCCATAGAACTCTCACAGCTCCCTTGTGATTATGTCACCACCAGCCCCAGGCACTTTCTTCCCTTCATTCTCTCCCTATCAGCTGTGACTTTATAACTCGCCCTTGCAGAGCAGCAGTGCCCAGAAAGACCTTTTAAAAAAAACAGAAGTCAATGTAGTCTTGTCCTACCAGATCACCTGTAAGTCAGGAAAGTTCATTACAAAACATAAAATAAGCCTCAGAAAGTTTTAGCTCAAGACCAAAAAAAAAAAAAAATGCACTTGTAATCTTTGAGTCTATAAAAGGAATTAACTCTTAACCCTAAATAATTTGCAAAAGCCATGCTTTAGACTGGAAATGCTTGCCTGACCAGCCAGCAGGAGCTGAAGACTGATGTCATTTATCCTTTACCTGGAATGAAGTATATTGTCTAACTAGTCTACTTGATTTCTTTTCCCACGTACAGCTTTATAAAGGTGTCTGTGAACTAGGCCACTGGGCTGAGAAATTCCTGACAGCATACTTTGCCTATAAAGATGGTGATATAGATTCTTCTCTTGTTCAGTATGCACTACTTGCAGAAATGGGGTATGAAGTAGCTCAAAGCAATTCAGCATTCATTTTGGAATCTAGTAAGATAAGTTAAAATTCCCTAATCATACATATTCATATATGATTTTATTACAGGGTTATTTTAAGTCTTCCTAATGGAATGTCTCATTTTTTTTTTTAGAAAAGGCTAAAATTATTGAAAAAGAGAAGATGTATCCAATGGCACTTCTCCTGTGGAATCGAGCTGCCATTCAAGGTATAGAACCAGATAAAAATGAGCACCTACCTGTTCCCTGTCCACTATTATTCATCTTATTTGCTCCAGCTGAGTTCTTGGGCAATAGGCAAAAAGGTGCACAAGTAGATGGTATTTCAGATTGTATTGATGTTAGGATCAGCCTTTGGTTACAGGTCATTTCCAACATTTTCTTTTCTTTGTTATTCTCCAAGTCTCAGTTTAGCAAACCATATGAATTCTTCTGTGGCTCTGTCTCGATGGCACCAGAACAGTTGTTTGACACATGACACTTTTACTCAAGAATCCAGTTTTCTTGGTCTGGCTTCAGTCACTCATTTCCTGAGTTTTTTCTGAATTTAATCAAAAGTGTGGTGTATGTTATGTCTCAATTAGTTTATAGGTAAAATTACGGGTCTCAGACTTGTTTGATTTCTCTTTTAAAATATCACATTGATGATTTCCACAAACTTCAGATCTTTATTATAACCATTAGTATGTTAGCATCAGGAAACAAACAAAAAACAACTGAGTTGATTGGCCAGATCCTCTTCCCTTCCTGGAGCCCCGCTTATAGGGATCACATGCTCACGTGCCATAAGGAATGTTAAGATAGCATTGGTGGGGAAGCTTTGACAAGTGGCATTTGCATCACTATGTCTCATTCC